TGCAGTCACACGACTGCACAGAGAGCTTCAGGTTATGCCTCACATTGGCTACTCGCAGTTTTTCTCCGTTGCTTTGGTGCATATCCACATCTGTATTTACATCTACACATTTTTTAATGCGGTTTTCAGTTTGTACAAACTGCAAAACTTAGTGGTTAAAATGCAAAAGCATGTAACTTGTTCCAAATGCAAATCACTTTTCTCAGAAGCAAGTTTTCATTAAATGTTTAAAATGTCATCAAATAAAAAAAGGGCTGTCAAAATTGTTTACAAAGATTTTCAAACGGCTTTGCCAGGTTTTTATTATGACAGTTTACTCTGCAAATGTTTTCTGACGCAAAATATCAGATGTTGGTGACACTACCTGAAATACCCAAGACAGCACAATTTGTGTAGCCATTTAGAACACTACAGTAAAGTTACTGATTACTACATTTATCAAATTTAATGCAGTACAACACATTGATCATGTATGTTTTTAAAATGTACTGCATATGTTCTTTGCATTTTGCAAAAGAACAAAATACAACCTTATTTACCACAAACATTAACTCCGCTTGTATCCAGCTGTTTAGAACTGTTAACAATATTGCAGTACATTTTGGAAATTAACAGTTTACGTAGTGTGAATCATTGATGCACATAAAGATGTTTCTCTCTGCCTGGGTAAGTTTATCTACATCATAGTGAATGTCATCTATTGCATTGTAGCAAGGAATTTAGCTCCTTAATTGGGCAATCCACCCTTTGAAAGACTCTGCTGTGATGTGATCATATGTTACATCCATGGCCACTAGCAAGACCATTTAGCCATGTAGGTGCAGGCCATATGCCTTCCACCTCCTGGAAGAAAATAAACTTATAGATTTAGAAATAGTGGGCATGGAGGGGGATATTCCACCACTGTCTGAGTTGCCACATATCAGTGAAAAATAACATACTTGTTCAGTCTCAGTTACACGCCTCTCATTCAAATAACTCAATTTGATTACTGTACATGTTCAACATTTTTCTCTGCAGTCATTCAAGCTGATGAAGACTTTTAGTTTTGTATGGAATGACTGCTCAGCTTTCAGAAGTTTAGTTAATTTTGACTGACATGCCTTGAAAGTGTATTAAGCAATTGATGCATTAAATATTTTTAATTATTGAAAGAAAGTGCTGCCATGATGAGCACAAATGACCAAATGGGAATGTTGAACATGCAGTTGTTCAAATGTTAATAGGAATAAAGGGTTCTGTAAAAGTTCACCAAAGCAACTGAGAGAAAGTGTAAAATCTTTGGAAGCAGCAGAGTTGTGCAGCAATTTTGCTGCACAACTGCAGCAAGCGTTCTAATAGTGTATATGAGAGCTTTCTAATAGTGTGTATGAGAGCGTTCTAATAGTGTATATGAGAGCTTTCTAATAGTGTATATGAGAGCGTTCTAATAGTGTATATGAGAGCGTTCTAATAGTGTATATGAGAGCGTTCTAGTAGTGTATATGAGAGCTTTCTAATAGTGTATATGAGAGCGTTCTAATAGTGTATATGAGAGCATTCTAGTAGTGTATATGAGAGCTTTCTAATAGTGTATATGAGAGCGTTCTAATAGTGTATATGAGAGCGTTCTAATAGTGTATATGAGAGCGTTCTAATAGTGTATGAGCTTTCTAGTAGTGTATATGAGAGCTTTCTAATAGTGTATATGAGAGCTTTCTAATAGTGTATATGAGAGCGTTCTAGTAGTGTATATGAGAGCTTTTTAATAGTGTATATGAAAGCTTTCTAGTAGTGTGTATGAAAGGTAAAGCTTTTCACCAGTTTATATGAACAGTTCTCACTACTTTGTATGAGAGCTTTTGAGTAGATTATATAAGAGGTAAATGTTTTCACTAGTTTATGTGAGAGCTTTTTACTAGTGTTTGTGTGAGGTTTTCAGTATATTATATGGAAGAGTGTAATTTAATATGTGTATATGCAAGTTAATTCTGATTTATGTCCCTGGGGGCACCTCATAAAATAGTTTCTAAGACATGCCTTTAGCTGACAGAGAGACCCACTTAGAGCAGAAATTATATAAAAATTGTAAAAAGATATGTAAATATTTTGCATTTAAAGTGTGTAATAATTACAGGGATATACAGTCAGAAATATATTATACATAACTATGTTATTTATCATCATCTATGAGCTCAGCCTCTTAAACCTTAATATTTGCGTTGCCTTAGAATTCGTTATTTATAATTACATAGGAGCGGGTCTCGCAGCCATGGAGGCAGACATCTTTGCGCTACGGCAGCGCAGAGCCAACAAACTAGCGATTGCGAGATCGCCAAAATGTCAGAACGATGTAGAAAAAATAACGGGTAAATTTATTATCTTAAGTCTACATGAAATCTATACCCTACACAGACTAATGAAATACTATCTGTAAAATTATCTATGTAAACAAACCTCATCACTTGAGAAGGTAGGTGATGCGGACGTCGTGGAAGACATTTTGTCCCGTAACGCTTGCCGTACTGTTGGGGGGGAGAAACGGTGGGGGGGAGATGTTCATGTTGCTGCAGTCTGCAGTCTGACCGCTAGATGTCGCTAAAAGTTACACACTGTAGCTTTAAGATGAAAAAAAAAAAGTGTTTCCTCTGTCAATATGCTCTATCAAGTGGAAAAGTCTTACTTTCACCTGGTTTATTTTAGTTACATTTAGTAAATAATCTTATTAAAGAACAATTTCCTTATCCAATTATTAATCGATAAATCAAAAAAAAGATTTGACAGATAAAAAAAAAACTATATACGGTATATATATATATATATATATATATATATATATATATTTTTTTTTTTTTTTTTTTTTAAATGTTCTTTCTATTTTGTAATTACAGTACTGTTGTAGTATGGTATCTTATATATTTATTTTAAAAATGCCTAAATTGCACCCTCAGCACATATAGTTCCAAGAGTGGTGTTAAATCAACTTTCTAGGCCTTAATTGGACACTCCCATTTAGGACCAATTATATATATTTCAATCTTTACCAATTATGACCCCATTTATAATAAAAGCTGCTTTATTGTTTGCCCAAACAGACAGACAAAAAAATAATACTGCATCATGTTATTCCACTCTTTCTAATGACTTTTGATCAAATCGTTGCCCCTGCTAAAACTGAGAATCCCTGAATAATACTTATGGTGAGCTGAACTGAAAAAGAAGCGGAAAAAAAAGGCTAAAATAACAAGAACTATATAAATAAATCAGTGCAAAGCCTATAGAGCAGGGGTCCCCAAACTTTTTCCTGTGAGGGCCACATAACTTTTCCCGGGGTCAGTTTGTAACAGAAAAATTGTGACGATTGCAAGAGTGCCTAAATTTATGATGGGATTTATGTCTTAATGTCGGGAGTCATAGTGTCTCCACAGGTTATATTCTTTGAATACCGCCACCGCCTCTTGACAGACGAGACAGACTTTACATTGAAAAAAAAAAATGATCGTTTGTCCAATTCAGGTTTAATGCCCTTCATTCTGAATTAATCTTTCTCTTACCTTTTCTTTTCACCATTATTCCGTTCGCTCTTTATGGAAGAGGATTAGGGCCATTCAAAAGAAAAAAAAAACTATTCAATTCTGACTTTTTTTTTCTTAATTAAACTCAAAATTCTGACTTTTTCCTCTGAATTCTGAAAAAAAGTCAGAATTGAATAGACTATTATTTTTATTTTTTTGAATGGCCCTAATCCTCTTCTGTATCTCTTTGAGAAGGGTGGGTTTAAGATTTTATGCTGGGAGTTGCCAGATAGGGGCACAGACCCCAAAAGGGTGGAACATTGTCGCGTTATGTGTATGAAATAGTTACTAATAGTTAATAATGAAAAAACTTCATAATTAAGGAACATTTTATTGCAAATATCCAACTTTAATATAAAAAAACAAAAAAACAAAAAAAAAACACTTATATGAAAATACTCTCTGGTATTGTTCAGGGGGCCGGACCAAGTGTGGAGGTGGGCCGGATCTGGCCCGCAGGCCGTAGTTTGGGGACCACTGCTATAGAGGGCTAATGTAAGCTTCTGGATTTACACGACAAATGGGGGAAAATATGTTGATTCATTAAACAGAAAATGAATTATTAAAACTAATTAAAATGTTTTAATTGGTATATTGTAAACACGGGGTAAATCATACAAATAATTTTAAAGTTCAATTTAATTCAGTTTATTTATATAACGCCAATTCACAACACACATCATCAAAAGGCACTTTACAGTTCATACAGTCAAATTGATTCAAAGTTTCTATCCAAGGAAAACCAGTTGATTGCATCGACTCATTGACTCGAATGCAATCCCTCACACTTAGCATGCTTGTAGCGACAGTGGAGAGGAAAAACTCCCTTTTAACAGGAAGGAACCTGCAGCAGAGCAAGCTCAGTGTAAGCGGCCATCTGCCGAGGCTGACTGGGGTTCAAGGAGACAGAAGCAGAGATACAAGAAGCAGCTATATAAGGTGGCCCGGTCTAGGAAACACACAGCCAGGCAGACGAGCTCCGAGCCAGCTCCCATGTCAGAGGATGAAGAGAGCACATCCAGCCATTCAGTCAGAGAAACAGGACCACACTGGAAAAACAGGCCCAGCTCCAACATCTATAAACAAAGGTGTTGGTGGCAGCAGCACAGCTGAAAGGTCATCAATATTCAGATTTTATCTTTGGTAATAATTTATATAGGAATATTTTCTTCATCAAAATTATTTTTCTCTTGGTGTAATTTATTTATTTATTTTTTTTGCAGTCAACCCGAAACAAGATCATTTATATATGTGCTTAGGAGGGGCTGAACAAGTTCTAGGTGATGAATTCAGCTACTGGATGATGGATCATACTCGCAGCCTACCGAGAAACGCTCAGGTTGAACGTATTGATCCCGCCTCCTCCGCTCTGAGTCCTGACTTCTTATTGGTCGACTGCTCTGCCATTCCCCGTCCAACCAGGTTCGGTTGCTCCGCACCGTTGTGATGCTGCTCAAGTGATGGGCGTACAGAAGGAGGATACCCTTACGTGTTCCCACTGTACAGAGCAACAAAAAGCAAATGATATTCTTTTCTACTCGTGCCTGCTTTCTGCAGGGGCTAAAACCTCCTGGAAATCAGCAGTTTTTTTAATTTTCTCTCCTGCTCTTCTTTTCCTTTGTTGACAAACTGCTCCTGCGATGCTATTGCGGTCGCTTTAAAGGATAAAAGAAAAAAAGCTCCTGACAGGAGGCTGAAGCATCGCGGATATATCCCCTCATCATTGTGCATCACTTTAATCCAGGTGATCTTATTGGATTGAGGCTTCTTTCTTCGCATGCATGGTGGACTCGGACACTTTGGGGGGAATTGCACCTGCCATGAGAGAAAGGAGGACGAACAGAAACACATGGATGGATTCACTCCCTAGACCTTACATCGGACTGTTAAGTCTGAGCAACCTGATCTCTCATTGCTTCGCATTGGAGCTTTAACAGTTTTGTGTGTTTTTTTTTTTTACCCGTGTGAGAGGATGACAGCTGATCGCTCCTCCTCTCTGCTGACCGGGATAAAAAGGCGCTCCAACTGAGCGCGCCGCCTCCTCCTCAGCTGTGTGACAATAGATGGGGGCGCACAGGGTGGAACATTTGGCTTCCTCCTCATTAGGCTCTCAGTCCCTCAAAGATTTCACACAGAACGTTATTAAGCTGCCTCACTGATTCATTTCCCATTTCTAAAATATCAGCCCCTCCATTAATGGGTTCACCTCTCCACATGGATGGAAACTTCACTTCCTCTTCTTGCTCCTCTTTAATGCTTTGCATTAAACCCGTGAGCGGAGGGGATGATCCTTGAGTGGCCGATGAAATAATCAGCGTCGCGGTGTCAGCAAAGGGCTTTGAGCCCCAGGGGATTTGGGTAGATTATCGCTAGAGTGCTATTTTGCTCATCCGGTCACACTCTCTGCGGAGCAGCAGCCTTTTTGTGATCGCTTTGGCCAAAGTGCATGTAAACTCTGAGAGAGGAGGAGGAGGAAAAATAGAGAGAAGCAGGAGGGGATTCTTAAAGCAATGCCTCGCATAGAGGTGTTTGGATCCAGGTCTGAGGACGCGGCCGGTTTGCCGTCACGCCGCGGATGTTGCGGGATTTGACACGCCGCGGGTTGGTAGTAAACAGTGAGCGCGTCGGGATGCCGTTACTGTGATTTCCTAGAGAAGACAGAGAGAGGAGTCAAACAGCGCCTTCCAGGACTGCTCTCCCCGGACCCACGTCTCCTATCCACCGGAGGATGTTTCAGCGAGGATGCTGCGCTTCCCCGTGAAGAAGATCCGGAAGCAGTTCAAGCTCCTGCTGCTGCTGGTGCTGCTCACCTCGGCCGTTTGGTTCACCTATCTGCACATCAACCAGGGCAAGACCATCAAGCTGCACTTTAACTACGGAAAAGGTAGATAACAAACTGGAAATAACAAACAAACAAATAGGCTGGCGTCAAGGATGACTGATTATCTGAAATCTCTTTACTTCCCATAGTGAGCCACTTTCTGTAAATCATTTAAATTGACTTTTACCCTATCTCAATAAATGCCATTTTAATTGAAAAATTAAATAAATGAAAAAAGCGATTTGTTGCATTTTTGCAACTATTCTATAATTTTTAGCTTACATGAAATATAACAAAACGTGCTTCTTTCATGGCACCAATTTTGATTAATATGTGAGACAGTTGCAGGTTTAAGTCAATAAAATATTGGGAAAGACCCTGACTGGGCAGTTTTCCTACAGAAACAAGGAGGATACGCTAAAAAGTCATAGATAAGAAAGTTAAATGTTCAGAGAATCTTCAAGCACAATAATGGAAAGTTGTGTGGAAGGAAAAGTGTTTAAGAAATGGTGCATAACTACAGCCTTGAAAGGGTTTGGGCACCATTAACTTAATAAAGTTAAAAAAATTTAAATTCACATATTAAAATGTAAATGAAAGTATAGTTGCTACCAAAGGTAAAGCTTTTAACCTGAATAGTAAAGAGACTGCAGTAGGATGAATTTGCATTAGAAGAATAAATAATATACAGCTCTTTGTTGCTAATTCATTTCAGTGTGGATTGAAGCTATTGTCTGGATGAAAATGTTAGAGACACAGAATGTAAGTCACCGTGAGGTTTCCATGGTCAGTATTCATTTGGGGACTTAGTAATGCTTATTGTGTTTTCTTATTTTTATTTTTTTTTTAAAGACCACAGCCATTTATCAGGAAATTTTAAAGCACTTAAGACCGATGTGGTTCATGAATTCTCCTTCTTGAACGTAGCTCAAACAAAACCAACTCTCACCAAGTATCTAATGCATTTATGGCACAGTTTATTGGGCATATTTTGTTATGTTCTGGCATTTCTCTTTTAGAATTTTGAATAAAGCTTTATTTTATAAGAAAGTATAGTTTTGTATATGTGTAGTTTTGATGCAGGCAGCCCAACATGAAGAAAAACCTCTCATTGACTGCTTTCTTTTTCTTGTTTCCACCACAAATCAATCAAGAATAAAGATCCATCCTCTCCAAAATAGGCTTCCTTCCGTTATATTTCAATAGAAAAGGAAAAGGCTCAGACTAGTTAAAGAAACCACCAACAAACAAACAAAACACCAATAGATATATATTTGTTTCGAGGAGGTTAAATGAATTATTAAAGCTAATTGTTTGAAATCAGTAAATTAAATTGGTGGGGAAAATGGCCATACACTTTATTCAAATGCATCATTATTTATAAGTGGAAATGATGTGCTGCAGAAGCTTCTTTTAAAATGCATTTATCAGATAGAAAGGTTAAATTCAGATAAAGTTTTAGGCTGATCTTACAATATATTCAGCTATTTAATTATTATGTCTTTATATTAGTACAACAGAAGATGGGTGTATTTGTCGATTGCATTCAAAACTACAAGCTCAGCTCAAGTGATACTAAAGATTGTTGAGCACATAGTTTATCTGGAATAGTAGTATTACTTATATGATATGATGGACTTTGGTTGAGTTTTTTTTAATTTTTTTTTAGCCCTATTTCCTTTTATTTCTATTATATTTTCCTTTGTTTACCTATATTCTAGTAATTTCCACACCTGTGACAGCCTCAGCAGTATGGTCTCTGTTGAGCTATTTTCTGCAGATCCAGCCAGTGCCTCACCTCCTTGTTCTTCCTCAGCTGTTTCTCATCCTGTAATTAATCGACCTCCACAGCATTTAGGCCTTTCTGCTCAGCCACTCTTTGGTCTGATCCTCCTGTTTTATTTGTCAGTTTATCACCGGCTTCATTCTTGTCAGCTCCTTTCGTTCACCCCGCTGCTTCTGTCATGTCCTTTGTTTATTTATGACTATTAAACTTCACTGCAATCCATCCTGCCTCTTGACCCCATATGGATTCTTTGCCACTAAAACTTGGACAGCTTTAAAACCTTTTCCACCGTCTTTCACTAGCTATTGCGTAAAACTTTCCCCCAACAATTACGCTAAAATACGTCATAGAATGGAAAACTCAGTTTTCTTGCAGGTTAACATTTAAAACTATTGGTGCGTGTCTCCTTTTTAATGAGGATTTGAATGAGCAAAGCTACCTCAATAAACCTCATTAGTTACATTTTAATAAAAACATTTTGCATGGGCCTGCCTTAAATACCTAAGGGGTAATATTGTAATAATAACTGAACATTAAAATGATAATATAACATGCTTAAATATTATACTTCTTATGGCCTACACTAATTGTTTTTGAAGTGTAGATTTTCATCAAAATCATTCCAGAAGGAAGTGTAAATGTAATTGTAAAGTTGCCAAAATCAGCACAGCAGCAAATATGGTTCACAGAAAGGTAATTGCAGTCAGGAGTTATCCCAAGTTGCAGTTTCAGTGTTGTCCTTATATGAATATGAATATATATTCACTTCATAGTCTCAATAAAAAGCCTTCCAAGAAACTCCAGCTCCAATATCACTCACTTTTTATTCTGCATTTGAAATTACCCAGTATTACTGCCTGAAGAAGTAACAAAGAGAAGGGTACATGTCTCATAAATTAACAATAGCTTCCTCTTTAGGCTAAGTAAGGAGCACTGCCATCCGGGGCCATGCCAAAAGCCAGGTCGTTGCTTTCCACATTAATATTCAAAGGGCTTTTCATGAAGGTGGCCCCACAGGTCTTAGGGAGCAAATATTACATAACAGGTAATATTATAGTAACAGGTGGCACATGGCTTTGAGATTTGATTCGTTTTTTATCATTTTACCTGCGTCTTCTTACCAAAGTGCGATTGCTGTTTTGGTTGTAATGGGTTGATGCTTAGGATGACAGGAATGTTTGATCTACATGGATGAATCGAGTCTGAAGCATGACTCTTGACTACGGCTGATGGGCTTCTTGTTTCAACTGCAGCTGTCAGTGTAAGGTGATACCTAATGATTACAATGTCCTTGATGAGTGTTCCCCGCATGCACATACACACGGCTAACCGAGATCATTTCAACGTCTCTGATCTGAGCTTTGGGGATTTCTTAGCAACAGACTGGGTTTAGCGTTCTGATGACTGATGGAGGCACCATGGAGGCTGTGGGAGGAATTAGGAGTAAATATTAGAGCGTTGTGTGAAAAAGTTTTTTTTAACAGTATAGGTTTTTAATATAGACTATATATATCGCAGAGTTTATTGGTAGTGCCAATGCAGAGATGGTGAGAAGTAGATATTGCCCTTTAGAAAGCTTCACAACAACTTATCTTAAAGCAGCTGAGCTGATTTCATCAAGTTTTGTATCCAAGGATTGTTCACCTAAGTTTGCAAAATCCTTTACCTCTCCTAATTTTGACAGTGAGTAAAATAAAATGGGTTTTATACAGTTATAATAAAGGACAAAAACTATGAATGTAAATAAACCTTTCATCTAAAAAAAACCCTCATCCTTATTAAGGAGAATCCATGAAACGGATCAGAAATCTGTAGGAAACTACCATCTCCATGTTTCACAGCTGGTAGTGTATGATGTTTTTTTTTTTTTTTTTAAAGCTTAAGCTTGACTCCTCTGTTCTGTTTGTCATTGTGAATTAACCAGAGGTGTCAAGTACCAAAGTACAAATATATTATTACCTTACTTAAGTAGAAATGTTAGCTATCTATACTTTACTTGAGTAATGATCTTTTAGACAACTTTTTACATCTAGTCCTTGCATTTTTTTTTTTGTATTATCGCTACTTACTACTCTTAAAATCTAAAAAAATGACTCGTTGGCTTTGTTCAATTAAAGCTTATTCTCGTTATGGTCTGTTGGTATTTAACCCTTTAAAGCCCGATCCAAGAATAAAATAAAACAGAAAATTACTTTTTTTGGTTTGAAGTCCTTATTTGGCCTTTGAACAAAATATGTAAAAAGAAAAAACAGAAATACATTTTTGATATTAATAATTTATTACTATGCGATAAGTCAAGATTATTTTTTGTGTAGTCTTCTGCCCTCTGTTATCAGGTATATCTGATTGTGTACAATATGATTTTGAGCAAAGTTTTTACCATTAAATTATGCAAAAGGTGTCAGATGCAAAACATTTCAGAAACCGAATGTATCAAATATGATACATTTGGCATTACAGGGTTAAAAAAACACAAAAAAAAAACATTAAATAATTTGTTTCATTTAGACAAATAATAACATGGTGCTTGGACTCGGTGCTGCACCTACTTGTTATTCGCTACATACAAAAAATTAGTTTTTCAAGATGATGCAAATTTAAATTTGACACTGTTAACGTTAGTTATAAAAATAAGAAAATTAAGTCTAAGGAAAGAATCATCCAGGATTGTAGAAAAATGTTCCTTTTATAGTCTAGTGCAGTAAAGCTTCTGTCCTTAAATTTTTTTTTTCCCCCATTATTTTTACTTTTATACTTTAAGTACTTTTAAAAATGGTATTTTTACACTTTAAATTGCTTAAAAAGCTTAAGTTGATACTTAAGCATTTGTCTGTACCTTGATAACCATAGGTTGCTCCAGGTCAATATAACCAATTACTTTTTATTTAGGAGTTGCATCTTGGGTAATGGACACTTTTGAACGAAGGTCACCAATGTCAGTCCTCGAGGATCAATATTCTGAATGTTTTAAGTGTTACTTCCAAGCTCTGTCAATAGTCCAAGGTGCACATGAGAATTGCTATTAGAATGGATAAAGTTTTTGGAGCAGCCCCGATCTGTTTGACTCAGAACAGAGGGACCTACTGTTCAGGCAAGACAGACAGTGGGATAACTTAAAAAGCATGTATTAAAGCAGCGACGGATCGTTTGCAGATCTGAAGCAGCAGTGGCTAGGGCGCCCGAGGCAGGTAACTCTAGCGAGAGGAAACAAGGGTTAGTGACCATAAAAACCTGATGGATGATGATCTGAAGGTGAGTCACTAACCTGGTTTAGAGT